TAGACTGTGTGTAATGAACCATTTGCCTGATTTGAGTCTGGTACCTCTGTCATGAGAGGTAAATATGCCCGTCACTGAGAAACGGTCGTACATGATATTCAGTTTGATAGTTTGCGCTAGGGTACTTAGTAGACTGTTCAAACTTATTGCCGATAAATCTAGAAAATGTATATGGATAATACCAATGTTGGATCCAATGGTTGTAAGTATTTTGTTAAACCATACCAAAATAAAAAATAAATAAACAAATAAAAAATCGACACACATTGTACAGTATTGATTCAAGTTAAAAAGAAAAATGGCACATTTGGAAAACTCGTTATTCTGACCATAACATATAAGCACATTGTTTGCATAAAATTATGAATATTTTAGTTCGGATGATGATTATTGACTAACTTAATACTTCCAGATTTGCATCTTGTAGACTAATATGAATAAAGGATTTTCTAAAACTTAATCAGAAATTGATAATGGCATCTTTTGACTTTAAAAGAGTCCTTTATGTTTAAGAGGACACAACAGCCCACTTGTTAAATGTTATCATGGTACGATATGGGTTTATTACACGTTTACATTTGACTAATTAATACATCTAGTATGATCTCTGCATATGATCCTGCTTATTATTAAGTTTAAGTATATGTTAAGGTAGACTGAAATAATTACATATATGTTTATGTTTTATGTTGTTGCAAATTGTATTGCTTTCGGGTTCAGGAGAAACATTTTTGAATGTTTACATTTTTTTGTCTTGAACTATTCTTGATTTAACATTTAAATGCTTTAAACAATCATAGGGTGACCTTGAACGGATAACAAAATAATTCATCTTAACTTAAATGAATTTTTGAAAAGAACCAAACTAAAGTTATTACGGTAAAACCGTTGTTTGTTAATTTATTTATTTACTTTTCGGACTATTCACTTAAGGTCCTACATTCAAGTCAAAGGTAACTGTACTTTCAGTGCAGTCAACTTGAGTTGGTCCAAATACATGTACCACCACTGCGCATGTGCGTTAAAGAATGCCAAGACCTATGACTTTGGAACATTGTGTTTCATGTATGACAAATATTAACCAATTATGATTATGAAATCAAATTATAAGTAATAAAATTATAAACGCCCAATACCTACCAGGAGTGCTTTCTCAAAGGATTTTTTTTCTTTAATTGGTGTCCACATTATGTTTCTAAAAATACTCATTGTCTACATACTTGAATATTCTTTTGCTTCTGTTACCTTTTTGCAACTAGTACAGCTATAGAGATTTAGTATTTTGTATGGAAGCCAACATGCTACTTTGTTTACATTTTGTTACTTTTAAGACTAATCAAGTCACCTTCCGCACTAATATCTCCAGCTGATAAGCATCTTAATGTTCTTAAAGCATTAGGTTAATGTAACAAAACTCATATTTGCCCTTCTAATTAAATTCTGATGCATACTGTCGTTTAAAAATATTTTCGCTTTTATCGGGGTTTTATTATCATTTTATATACTGGTGACAAGAATAATCTTAATTACATATACTCTAATAGTATTCTCTGTTAATAACGTGGCCTTTTATTTTATTATCACTGATTTGTAGTGATAGTACTAACATTTTGAACTTTTTATACTCGTGGTACATGTGTAGAAGATAATAACGCATTACTGGTAGATGTACCTTGGTGTTTTAAACGTACTTTATTAAAAGAAATATTGACGTCTACATTTCTATGTGTCTACATAGTCAAGAGCTTTGTCGCTTAAAGCAGCACGCCTCCAGATGCATGCAAATTTTCATAAAAATTTTAAAAATGTATTTAATGTATAATATTGTGAATTCTAACACGACCCGCATTTTTCCCTATTGAACATAGAAGAACAAAAAGTGTGTGTTATTATGCAACAGATGCACAGTTTGACGTTCTATATTTAGACATGTGACGTAATCATTATACACGTGACGTAACCACTAAAAATCCGACGCGCTGAAAATAAGTTCGGAAACAAATCAGGCGCAATTTTGCTAAACTATCATGTACCTCAACATTTATTTGTTAATGTCGTGTTAGAATCGAAATAATATATCCAAATCAGTGATTTTATCGCTTGATAACATCACTGTTTGTCGTTCGGATGCGCATCATTATATCACTCGGGCTACGCCCTCGTGATATAATTCCTTGCATCCGAACTCCAAACAGTGATGTTATTGAGCGATAAAATCACTGTTTGGGATATATTATTTCTTAAGTAACCAAAAGGAAGAAATTTATACATTATCAATGGCACTAACAAATACGTAAATTAACAAAAAGTGGTCAAAATATGCATAAATAGTCTTTACTGCGTTAGTAACGCAATAGAAACATGGTTGTTAATATTGGAAAATCAGTCATTAATCGCACATAATATGTAAAGTATTACTTGAATTTTAAAATTTTTACTTTTCCTTATATTTTAGTACATGTTTCTCAAGTTTGATTGTATTGAAATATTTTAATTCATCTGGAGGCATGTAGCTTTAAGGCGACAATAAAATGTTATTTAACTTGTCTAATATGAATAACGGGAAATAAATAAAAATATTTTCCTTAAAGGAAAGGGAAACCAAAAGTGTAGGTTTCGTTTTATTGTTTAAATTGATTAAGCGGAACCTAATTAAAACAAACGCTGACCTCAATCACTATTATCAAACATTCGTTCATAGCAATAACACACATATTAAATATAAGTTTGTCCGTCTGTCTCATCTAAACGCAACTTTATACAACATTCAGGATAATGCACTATATCATTTTATAATTACTTGAAATAAATAAATACATGATTTGTATCAGGTCATAAAGAAGCAAGGATGATAATTTATATTGACACAGATAGACAATAAAAAATATTTTTAAAAGAATCATCTATAAATATATTAAGAAATAAATTGAAGGCTAAAATTGTATCTATTCACCATTTTTACATCCGGTTGTTATTAATCCCTACATGTCAACCACTTACTCATTTTGAAATAATTTCCCTAACTATTGTGACTAGTATTAGTCTCTCATATCTTGTTAATCAACTTAATAACAATTACTGTCAGTCTTTTGATAAGGATCCCGAATAGTATAGTTACATGTAATTGCACAGAATGGTCTTATCTATAAAAACAAATAGTATTTAAAATTCTGGATAAAAAAAACAAGAATAAAGATCAACAAGGTAAAGGCAACGTTCACATGACGCAGCCCCCGACACTCCCAAGTAGGGCACCCAGAAGACACCGAACTATAAAATAAAATACTTAGTCATATAAAAGTCTACCTAAATTAAGTAAAATAATAACTTAAGAACAATTCATTTCTATATATTTATTTATAATTATTATATGTGAAGGAACCGAGAGTACAAATGTTTACTTGCGGTTAAGTTACAATTGCATGTCAATGGGGTGCATTTTAAATTGTCAGACATATTTTCAATCAGTTTATGAAAATATTCTTTTTACAGAATCTTTTCTTTCGGATATCAATAAATAGATTCGTTTCTCTTTATAGAAAGATGGCACTCTCTGTTGTTTTGTCAGAAAGTAGAGCAACAGCTCCAAGATCATTATGTATCACGATCGGGGGTGTTCCGATTATGGTATACTATTACGTAATAACGAAAGCATAAACATGAAATTATCAATATAAATTCGTGTACGTTGTACTTTTTTTTATTAATTTTGTTCAGTTTTTGCTGATGATACTAATACGAGGATTGTTTCAAAAGTAACATGATTGTAGCTCTAGTGTTCGCATTTCTTTATATGCGTACACAATTTTACAAGAAACAAATATCAAAACATGTCTTCTATGTACAAGGAAAAACTTAGTACAATATGTTGGACCGAACACACGCTAACAAAACGTTTATGACGTTCATTACCTCGCAATATAAAATCTAATGTAACAAGCGTCATTCTTCCTGAATGTATTCTCCCCAGTGTCTAGGTGGCTGAATCATGTCTGTATAAGAAGACCTCGCCTGTCGTGTTTATGTGAGAAAGGATACGATAAGATTTTATTTCAACTCTACGAAAAGATTAATCATGTTGCTGGCCACTCTCCGCTTTTTCTTGTGTTTTCTGCGTAATCTCGGAGCTCAACGGGCATGGATTTATGCGAAAAAGTATTTATAGTATTAATGTACACAAGACATCTTACATTCTTAAAGTCATATAATAATGTGAGAGTGACAGTAAATCCAAGATATTTATCAATTGATAATGTGACAGTGACATTAAATCTAAGATATTTATCAGATTAAACAAAATCGGGGGGGGGGGGTTAATACTTACAATTACCGTGTATCATATTAATCAATTGATAACACGTGCATCAAGGTAAATTTAATAAAAAGTGTTAAACACATGTCTTATAGTCAATCTTTAGGTCAGAATTGAACGCAGCCATCAAACATATACGATAGTACGTGGACTATTCGATCCTTTTATAGCGCTTTTGCACTTGATGCCAGTCACTTACGTTTCGTTTTGCGCTTTCTTCCTTTTCTTTCATTTGGCTCATTCCTGGCTGTCATCTCGTATTCTCTGTCTTAGAACTACTTTTGCCAGCTAAAAACGAGTGCCCAGATGGACTATTTATTGATATGTGTTAATTCAATTCTCGTGTATGAAATCTGAGGAGCATGGCTCGTCTGTTAGTAATATTTAAAGATCGCATTCATTCCTGTTTTTCAGCGAAACTTATATCTCTACATTAACACAATACTTAAGTAAACTTATGCTGAAATTGTAGAAAACAATTAACGATTGCCGCACATATGAAAATATTTTATTCTAGATGCAATTACTTAAACCATTTAGGTCACGTTGTAAACAGAGGAAATACATATCAGAAATTATTCCCGTCGCCGTTAAAGACAGGGTCATATTATAAAACAGTTATCGCATGGGGTTTGCGTGATTTTTTTTCTTTTTTGTGTAAGGAAGGGTTAATATTTCTTACAAATATACAAATACAATTCAAGAAGGTTATATTTTTATCTATTTTGCTTTTATTGTTTGAGATTCATATATTTCTTTATGATAATCATTTTATTTATAACAATTAATGCATGTGTCACTAGCACTTGTTATTCATTATAACATATTAGCATATCTTCTTTAACTTAAAATAAATCATCATTTTCTTTTTTCTTCTTCTTTGTTATCACCATCTTTTACGGTGTCACCGTCATCATCATCCTCAACATCATCATTATCATGGTCATCATCTTTTTCGTTATTGTCGTCCTCATCATCATAATCATCATTATCTTCATCCTTCTCCTCCTCATCATCATCATCGTTATTTTCAATATCTAATTTAGGTGATTTAGATTTATTTTCACTAGATGGTTCACAATTTTGTACATTCGACTTAGATATCTTAAATTCAATATCATCATACATGTCGTCGATTTGCAAGTTTCGATGATCAGACTCCTCATCTTTCACATTTTCACCACAACTTTTATTTATGGCAGGCATTTTGAATGTTACTTCACCACATTCGCCATTATGTTGTAGATTTTTGCAAGTTTCTTGCGATTGATGAATAAATTCTACATCATCATACGTATCGTCATTTTGTAGGGTATAGTCAGAAAGTACATCAAAGTCTTCACTTTTCCAATACTGACTATGCCTATTTACAACAGGTGTTTCAGGCTGAATTGCAACATATTCACCTTCATCGTGATGTTCTTGTCCATCATCATTAGATTCAGGCGAACCGTTACTTTTCACGTCTTCGTTGTCTAACAGGTCATTATCACCATTACTTCTACTTTTCATATGCTCACATTTATCATTTAATGCTGACATCACACATTTTTTAGCACCAATTCTACCATCATTTTCCTTATGCAAAATATCAGGTTTGTGAAGGTTTATACAATATCCATTCGACACAGATATATGACATTCTACGTCATCATATGTATCATCATTTTGTTGCTTTTCAGCTGTAGAGATATCAGCTTCTACTGTATCATCTGTAAGTGCGACTTCACAATTATCGATTGGCATCCCAGCTTTAATGCCAACATATTCCCCATCTTCAACTGCAACATCAGTTAGTACGACTTCACAATTATCATTTGTGGTAGGCCTCTCAGCTTTAATTGCAACATATTCATCATAAATGTTTGGTTTTTCTTTATCAATTTCTGTCAGTGACTTCATCTCAAATTCTTTGCTATCGAGTTCATTGTCACTTTGTACAATTTCAGTGATACCATTGGGTTTCGTCTGCAGATTTGCTGTTGCAGTTTTTCCTTCAGTATTAAGGTTTTCGATGTTTTCTTTAAACCTCGAGGATACTACTATCATGCTATTATATGAATGTTCAGATATACATATCAATTTTCTATTTTGACTGAGGGTATTGTCATAGGCAGAGTTATTTTCTGTTTTCCCTTTACTGTAGACATCATCACTTCCATCATATGAACCACCTTCCTTCTTAAATGTCGTGTCGTAATAGTTATTTTCAAATTGGTCCGCATGTATATCAACTGAAACATGTAGCTGAACGGAAATATTCTGATCCGTTGGTACGTTGGTATCAACGACATGTGGTTCCTCGGTGTTAACCACTGTGCCTGTAGAAACAGTCAACTTGTTTTTGCTACATCGATAAACGGTTTTTGAAGAATACCTTAGCCATAACCTAACTATATTTCTAAAACAATAAAAATAAAACAAGAAATACATTTAAAAATTTTCTCGCCCGTGATAACTATTCATGTTTGTTGGCTATCTCGGAGTAACAGATTGATATTAATCACACAGGTGCATATAAAAAAGTCTTTCAAAATTAAGTGAACATTTTGTTCAGAAGAAAATGTATACATTTAATGTGCAGAGTGTAATTATTCATTATACAAGTTATACAGTCATGTTCTTGTGATTATTTTGTAACCTTTTGTTTAAAATCGGTCAACAATATGTAATTATTTGATATATTATTATTCTTGGGATTTTCTTTTTTAATTTTGATTTCCATAAATAACATATGTTTTTGTCATTGTTCTTTCTAAAATATACTAGTTGCAGAGAAATAAATGTGTACATCTTTTCAATTATTTTATAAATGCCCTGCGTATTTTTATTTTATGCTGTTAGTAGAACTATAGTAATGTATAGGCGTCGAGCGTTGGCATTATATCACCGTTGTATTGCTATATTACACAGTTGGTTCGTTTCTAGGTTCCTTAAGTTCGTAAAATCTATATTTTACTTTCTCTAGAATGCCCAATTTTATTCAAATGTCTTGAGAGTTGTCTCCAAGACTCGATAATATTGCTTTTATTTGAGAACAGCCTTTAAAACAATTTAAAAGTATACATGAAGATAATACTTAAAGGTACTAAGACGTTCCAAATATATTTACTGGATGTAAAAGGGGAAGCATAGCTTGTTTTACTTCAAACACACCAAGTGTCTAATTAAAATTATGTGAGCAAAATATGTCAACTATCATTGAAGGTCACAAACAGCAGGGCAGACTGAATAGTCAAAATACAAAAAAAATGTACATTTCAAACGTAATGTGTAATTATATTTCACGTAACATAGTACTTTTCCTTTTGTTAAAACTGCATTATTAACAATAATTTAACATAACTCTTCAATAGAGATAATGTCTGATATAATTTCTATAAATGATCACAATAAAACATACAACCTTCTCTTGATTATTACTGCAGCTAACACGACAGCTAGGATAGCAAATAATAAAATAACAATAGTGAAAATGACTGCCACTTCTGTCTCTGAAAAGAAATATGTAATATTGTGTTAAACACTTTTTCGTAAAGTGTATACCGGTAATTTGAATAGAAAGACCACCGCATATTTGCTGTTTGCAGCCTATTTGAGAAACTACTCTTCTCTCAAAAGCCTACATAAATTGATTCCGTCTCATGATAAACACTTAAAACACAATGCTCACAAAAATATTATATCATATCTCTTGACACAGTACACATCAAAATTTATACTTATAGCTCACCTTATGTCAAAGGTTTGTATAAAAGTAATAGGTCCTCTTAAATAAAGAACAATAAGGTGTTGATACTTTTAACTATCTGTGCTATTCACAATGGAGTTTTGGTTGACCAGAGGAGGCTTTTCAGACAAGTTTATTTTCTGAATCTATGAAATTCAAGTGACAGAATAATTGTTTCACACCAAAGTAATAGGTTTGAATCTATTGTAGTGGCCCACTAGGTGAACATATATGTCAAATACCTTTCAGTTTTACACAAGGAAAGATAAACGTGTTTTCTAAAAAGAAAGTCTTTATGATATTATATTGACCATAGGGTCATGGTTCATATCATTTTTGTAGAGGTCTACAAGGTGATGCTGCATGCCAAATATCAACGGCTTGAACATTGTTATTTCAAAAAATAAGACTTATGTATGTTTACCTATGTCAATGTTAACTACGTGACTACCCGGCAGACACTATTGGTAACAGTCGGACGTACGATCGGACGAACGACCAGACGCATAACATTATACGCAAAATTTTATAAATAATGCGGATTTATTCTTTTACATTTGTATTTCAATTTACAGTGTAGTATATTAAGGCGTTTTTCTTTTGTGTCCAACAGAACGAAGAAAAATTAGTGCAGACTACCTTTTCGAAAAAGAAGCTTATATACCTTTTGTACAGAGAATATAACGCTTTTCGTCAGGACTTCCGGAAAACTTTAGCAAGATTGTACCATTGCGTTTCATAATATATCCATAATCAATTCCGATTTCATTCCTGAAAGCTTAAATGTGACGTAATATTAGTAGATATAAACAATGTGTTTCAAAAGCAATTATACCGTGAATAGAGGAATTGAAAATAACGTGCTCTCTGTATCTCTAATTTGATGTGATACTTTACAAACAATTCTCATTCCTACTGACAAAGAAGAACATGCAACTTTTTTTCTCAATCATATGATTACAGGAACTTTTGACCTTCAATAAAAGACGGCCTTATTCACGATGACAAAAATAAATGATTTCCGGGTGATAAAATGGGATTACATGGAATAACCTCATTTTGTTTGCATGTCAATTAATAATAAATTATTGCACTAACTTAAATTTCAGATTGCACGTTTGATATACGAGAAAAACTATGGAATATGTAACTAATAATATATGTTTCTTTTAAAAGTCAAGCACGCTCAAATGCGTAAACAGTCATCACATCCCCCAAAGAACAGTTGGTTGATTGCCTAATATATTAAGAGAAGTCTCTAGATCAAGTTTTGTCCATTGTTCTTCTGTTAATTTGTTTTACAGTGTATTTTAATGGAAATGGCCGAGAGCTGTATTTTATAGCAACTCGGAAACACTGTTAAATTGTCTCGTTTTAAATAATATTTCGTGTATTCAAATGACATATATTGATTTTAATCTGAGTGAATTTTATAAACTAAATATAAAAGGATGTTTTTAGACAGAATATGGATTTCATACTTAACAAAATAGGTGCAAAACATATTGAAACAAAAACAGCAGCATTAGAACAAATATAAATATAGAAAAAAATCGTAGACCTACGCGATCTCGTTCTTAAAACGCGTAGATATGACTGCGTTCACACCATAGCGCTTTTACGCTCACTTGAGTTTAAATGTTATTTAATAGACACAACATAGACACAAATTGTTTTACAACGCATCTTTCTGCGTAGATCTCGCGAACCGTACCGAAAATCTATCGACATTTTATGTATTGTGTGCATTGTCCTTGTAATTAATCAATCAACAGGTCAATAAAATCAAACAATAACAAAACGAATACCAAGACTATAAAGAACAATGACATGTTTGTTGATGATAATGATAAAGAGTGATTACATGATAAATAAGTGATTTCTTGTGATCACAATTAATATGAATCCATGGTACATTGTGGTAAAGAATTGTTGATGAGGTAATGTAATTATACGAAAGTCATTGGTTGCATTGGGATAAAGATTAAAAAAATCAATTTGAGAGATGGTGATTATATGGTGATAGAAATCATCACCATTATGGTGATATAAAAGTAATCGTTGGTGATAAAGAATGATACCATTGATATAAAGAGTGTTTGTGGAAATAAAGTATGATTCCATGGTAATGTAGAATGAGTATGTAGTGAATCAAAACTGAAGAATTTTCATGATTATAAAGATTTCATGGTAAAATATAATAAAAAATAACTAACTTGTGTATAAAGAATGATTCAATGGTTATAAAGAAGTATTCTAAAACGAAAAGTATGCCAGGAAAAAAGGGTGTTTAAATGGGTATGCATAATGATTAAATGGCAATAAAGAATGATTCAACGGCGACAACGATAATTACAAAGGGTTGGAAAAGATTTCATTTTGTCAAAGAATTATCTCATAGTGAGGTAAAATATGATTCAATACAAAATTGTCTAAAATTCATATAGACATGTATTAATGTAACCACTTTGTCATATTTCGTGTGTCTAGCACCAAGCGCAGTGGAAGTAGGACAAAGTCATATTTTTTGTTGTATTTTCGTGCTTTCGCCTGGAGTGAAGTACGAAATGCCACAAATCAGAATTTCTTATATATATTTGGAAATGGTTTATTTCATAACATAAATCACAAATATTTAATGCTAGCACACTAGAACCCTCTAAGTATAGACTTACTGTTTTGGTCGAATTCATCATTAGCTCTAAAAGATATTATGACTGGACTTCGTATCACATTCGTCCAAAACTGATCATAATCCTTTAGTTTAACAGCAATATCTAGTTGATAATTTTCTTCTAGTATCATGTCAATGTCGGTTTGAAATGACACTGCCACACCACGATTCTGGATACAATCATTGAAATTGTCACTCCATGATATCAGATTTGCAGGTGAAGAAACAGGTAAATATGTTCCTTCTGTATGAAAATAAGGAAGACAAAACCGAAAGAAAATTGTTTTTGACGGTGTAGTTTTTCAAAGATATTTTTATTTTTTATCATATTTATAGTGTTTTTTTTTAAATGAAATAAGTTAATACAAATCTGATAAGTAGAAAGTAAACTGATACTACGTTGATGAAAACGTTTGACACTTACCAAAATTACAAAGATTTTTTAAATGCTGAGAACAGTTTGACCAGTGATACTCTCTGGACTTTGGTTTTATCTTAAGACAAAATGCACCTTCAATCTCGTTTTCATGTCTTGTTTTAGCTGTATTGAGTTAACATCACGATAATCCCATGAAATATAAAGAAAAATGACGTTACAATTGGCAACACTCTTATTGTTCTTTTTTTACTTATTTTGCGTCGAGTCAACACAGTATAGGTCGTATGGCGACTATTCAGCTTGACTAGTGGGGTAAGATCAGATTCGGGCACGGACAGGTACATCGTAGAGCCATCAACATTCCGTAAGCTAATTGGATACTATTTGCTCCCTCACATAAAAATATTCGAAGTCCCCGGTGGGATTCTAACCCATATCGATTTACGGGCAAAAGTTTGGAGCCATTGTTCTTATCAGTAAAACACAATTAAATATTTATCATTTCTTCCCGCTGACAAAAACGTCTTTGAAAATAACTATAACACATTAGCTGCTTCACAGAAGTAACACAAATATTCATTAATTACTTAAAATCAGCTATTTATTACATTTTAATTTACTTATGATAAGGGAAAAAATAAAAGAATTCATACCAAGGGGATTATGTTTATAGAGCGACATAAACTTTAATCCATTTTCAAGCAAACCTCCGCAGACAGGTCCAATCTGACCATCACATTGTAAATTGCAGGATGTTTGATTTGTCACATAATTATTCTCATTTGATTGGAAGCAATAACACTAAATAATAAATTATAAAGGTTTAAGTCACGTTGAATTATGTATCAACATAAGAGCTATTTGCATATTCATCAATCAACTCTATTTGGCAATCGTTACAAATACTAACACAACCAATTGCAAATCTTTCGCAGTACATTCATAGCCGTACGCACTTTTAGATCAGAAATAGTTTGCCATAAAGTCGGACAGTAGTTTAAACATTTAGGTTTACAAACCGGTTTCCTTCCACATGAAGTTAATAAGTTCTTCATAGTGTTTTATGTAATTTTAAGCATTGTGTTTTAATGTAATGTGCTAGCAAAAATAGCTAAAACAAAGATACCTGGTTTTGGAAAATGCCAATATATAATCCATATTGGCATAATTTGTAACACATTCCGGGACTTGCTTGGTTGACCCTCTCAATTTTTGTTTCGTCAAATGTGTAAGTATGCAATGGCATACAACCTGTATACATAGGCAAACTTTGCTAATAGTATTTGTAAAAATGATTTTCAAATTTGTGTGTCTATTTCTCAAATGAAGAAATCTAATAAATTAAATAAGAAATTCGTATTGTAAACAAATTTAAATATTCAAATAGCGCAAGAAAAAAACCTCAAAGTATCTGATAAGTCTAGTATTAATTAATTTATGATAATTTCATGATAGAAATTGATAGATAATAGTTATAATTTTGCAGTTGATGATGGTAACGATTATGATGATAAAGATAGCGAAGACCATAACGCAGTCGAATATAATGATAATGATGGAAATAATGACTACCAATGTAATCAAAGGAGTTTTGTATTCGGTAATATCCAACCCAGACGCCCTTTTCAGCGGGAACTATATCGTTCAGACCTTCACTGTCAATATGTACACCGTCAGCTGTGAAAGATAAAGATGGGGTTGCAATTTTGCATTCATTACCACTGTCCTTCCATGTTGAAGATACTTCTGTGACATAGAAACTTCCTTTAGCTGTAAAAGTAAATTTAATTTATAGAGCATAGATCTCCATTTTGCGTTTTAATTATTTATTAGTTTAAACTTTGGTCGTACATGTAATATCAATGTGATGCAAAAAGCTAACATAGTTTGTGTTGACATAATATTATTTCTAACATCTTTCGTGCGTTTTGTATACCTTCTTTAATCACAACACTAACATGTACGGAAAATGTGTGTTGTGATCGTTTATCAAACGTCTTTATTTAACAATGTCATGGAATCTTCTACATGTTACAATCTAAACCCTGCTTCATGTTAAGGTACAATCTAAAATCCAACTGGTTAAAATCTACACCATGATAACTCTAAAATGTACTTGTTATAATCTAAAATCGACTTCATGCTACTTTCTGAAACCTACTTCATGTTACAATCTAAAACCTACTTCATGTTGCAAGCCAAAATCTTCTTATTGTTGCAATCTAAACCCTGCTTCATGTTACAGTCCATAATCTACTTTATGTTACATTCCGATATCAGCCATCTTTATTTATCAACTTTAAAATTTGAAAAGAAAATCTATTTGATTTATCTTTATTTATAACCTTTAAAGTTTAAAAAAGAAAATCTATTTGATTTCTTTTCTCCTGAAATATCTACATTAAATATTATAATTATTTTTGCAACCATCAATTAAATCATATTAATCATTTTATAATAACTTGTATGTATAGCATCGAACAATAACCACTGTTTACATTTATTTTATGTATTCGTAATATTCAAAACAAGTACAGCTCGAATTCTCTATTCCTTTCATTATCTGTTTACATCAATACTGACAAATAGGGGTGTCGATAAAATTCTTATATAAAATAATACCACTTATCGCCTAAATTTTTAATCACCGAATCAGTCACTCACTTTTATGCGTTTAGCATTATAGTGTAGTGGCAGAGTGTTCGCTCTATGAGTGTGGAGACCCTGGTTCGAATCCTGGTAGAGGTATTTTTTCTTTTCTGTTTTTGTTTTTCTTTGTTTGTTTTTTTTTTACAAAGAACTGGATTTTAGCACAATGCTATTTGAGAACATTTACTTATACAGGCATTCGAATTCAACAGGTTAAAATTAAGACAACGTGATTAGGGTGATAGCTGAGCAATGGAAGATTAAATTAAATATAATTATACAAAAGAGCCAAAATTGTTAAAATGTGGCGAATAGAATTCAGAGTTTCAAACAGAATACAATTGATGGTTATTCTATTCAATCTGTTCAATGACAGTTAAAATCAAATTTATCCAATTTTGCTTTATCGCCATAAGTTTTACTTTATATTGTGCAAAACATTATAAAAGAGAAAATGAAAAGTTACGTGACAAACTATAAAATATTAACTGAAATTAAAAAAATAAACATATTCAAGAAATGTGCACAATTGTAGAGTTGAACTCTAAAAAAAACATATTCATAACCTAAGATCTTCATAATCTGAAAATTCTTAACACTTCGCTACACGGCTTTACGTGTTTTCCCCACTTTTATTCTTCTATATTGCAATAAAAATGTAAAATATAATAATTGAAGAACTTGAACAACCTATTATATCATAATGGTTCGACCGATTTATGTAAACGTTATCGTGTTCGACTTATATGTTTATCAACATAATAACGTGTAGTTATTTATGAAATTCATTTTTTTGTATAACTTACTTTTTACTATGCATGAGATCCATAAAACTATTAAACGTATATCCATTATTCCTTTAAGAATAGAATAAATTAATGTTAGCGTTAAGTTATATTGTCAATGAACAATGAAAGGAAATGTAAAATACATTGTCACTGACTCTTACAGCTCAAAGGTTGATACTTAAAAGTATATTATGACAAATGAATTAATTTGTATTTCTTAACCGTTTTTATATGTGATTACAAAAATATTCTTAGTGTTTTATCTTAGTAAATAAATCTTATTTGTTAAGATATATAGAAACACATTACCTCCCCGAATGCTTATCTTTCTTTCATGCATCACTTAAAGGCACATACTGCCTCAGAAATGAATATTTGTTTGCTTCTTTAGAAAGAACAAACACGAGTTTTATAACACTGAAATAATGGTTTGCTTGTCAAGTGATGAAAGAAGACACAGTGAATAATGTGAAATAATCTGTCATAAAAGTAGGCACATGTAAACAAAGTACATGTAGTTTTACTTCCATACAAAATTACTAAAACTGTACTTATTGTCAAAAAGAAACGGATGAAAAAGCTCATAAAAACAGTCTGGACAAATTTTGTTGTGAACGGACGGACAGACAAACGGACGACAGATCCCTGTATTTCGATCCTGCAATGTAGCAGGTGGCACAGAAACGAACGGTAGGCACGTTTAAGGTGTCATTTATATAACTATACATGTATAAATACGCACAAACAACATTTTATCATTGACTATTCTATTGGTAATTACAAAACTTTCATATCTTTTGAATGTCAAATATCAAGTTTTGAAAATTAGTTTGGTATGGTCACTGGCACTATAGGTAAACTTAATGTGAAAATGGCTTCCTGTTATATGGAAGAAGATGGATAATGGATAATTTTATTTTGGTAGGCTATGTTTATTCTGTGCGAACATGCTTTCTTCGTGCAACATTTTTTCTAGTTGTCTTGTTTAATTTTCATGACATTCCTTTTCAGTATATATTTCAAGAATATGCATGCCCCAACTAAACAAAAGAAAGAAGCTTTAGCAGATTTTTCCTTGCATGGATTCTTCCTTGAAATAGCTATACTAGTACAGGAACGTATCCTTATATTTATTAAAATGAAGACAATATCAGTAATTTCACGTGTATATAATAGTTAAAAATATATAAAATAACTAAATTACGGAAACGTTCACTGACCCCCTTATATGGGTTGCTATTTAGTTGATGTTTTTATCATTTTATTTTTCGACATCTATTTATAAAGTAAATCAATAGTTGTCATTAAAAACTGTTAAGAACAATAACAGCCTATGTTCAATGAAATTTATATTTGACATAATATTTATAATTCGTATTTGTTAGTTTTATTTAAACCGATGCAAAAATAGCTTGCTTTCAAGACTTCAAATATTTCGCACAACGATAACTCGATTATAAATTCCTACCCGCGCTAGTAGTGAAGTGAGGATAATAGAAGAGAATGGATAGGGTTTTACAGGTATGTTTTTTCATTATGTGACAGTTACATCATGCGTGAGCAGAATGAAAACTGTAAAACAGATTTTTTCAAAACGTTTTCAACACTATCTAAAAATAAGTATTATGATATTTATCATAAAAATTCAATCACAACAAGATGTCGTTTTTGAGTAATCTGCCATTTCCTTTCTTGTCAGTTAAAGGGCAGAAAGCTTCATCTTTAGTCCGACACGCCTCATTGTTACAATTGGTAGAAAATTTTCAAGTTAAATTAAAGAGACTGACATTGACATTTCTTTAAAGGTGGGTATTTTTGTTTTTTTGAAAAAATATATGGCAACGATAAGGGTATTGGAACTAAATACTTTTCATTATTTTCTAAAATGTTGTATATCCGGTTGACAGGACGTCAGCTACATAAAAAGCAGAAAAATAAGGCAATGATTATCTGTTTTTGAAATCAGCAGGTTCAAAAACAAGTTCAGTGATTCTCATTTCTCCGCTTTAAATATGTTTTGATATTCTAAAAATATTTCATATGTCATGTAGGCTATTCTTTATTTATTAAATTTTCCTGTCAGAGAGCAACGTAAGTAAATTCATGTAATAAATGCATTGATTAACTTAATTTTAATGAATTTCTTTTTAGGTGTCCTTCAGTACTGACTGTTCAATGTGTCCCATCTGTGACGACAGGAACAGAGAATATTTTATATCACGTGGTCACATCCTCCGCAAAATATATGATGTAACACAAAATCCAGTTGCAAACAATTGTGATAGTGCCCTTCTAGTCGGACAACCATCAAGGGCTTAGGAAACATTCACTGTTATAAGACATAGTCATCATTTGCTGTTGTATTTTCATTATTATGCTCTTTGTAAACACTCTTAGCAGTGCATTGCTTACTTTTGTATACTTTTATTGCATTCTTAATTTGTGTCCAGGCTATAATTCGAAAAGTTAAAGAAATTTTACAGCTAGAATAAAGCGCACCATAACACTCTTATATATAACTCTTTGTGTAAGACTTTTTTCTCTTTCTATATCTGGAACAAAACTGGAAAAAAGTATTTCATAGATCAATTGAAACTTTAGAGATATATATATATTATTAAAGAAAGGTACCTTTTCAAGAATAATATTTATTGATTTATTGAACATTTAATTTGTTCATAAAAGTCAATATATCCGACCATGATTATGGCAAGGAAAAATATATATTTAACCCTTTCCGTCTTTGAGTGCGTGTTCGAAAACCTTGTCCATCCAGTAATGCTGTTATGCAAGCAGGGATTTTGAAATAACTTACAATAGTTGTGAAACTGGATCATTTGCAAGAACAAGGTCGAACAATAGCTATTGATGACAAAAATAAGAAAATTCACATTTCTAAAAGGAACAATGTACCAAAGGAAAGTCCATTCAAGAAAATCATAAAATTTGGCAATCTCAATGAAAATGAATTCATCTGATGTTTCTTCCACAAATGCTAGCATGTATTGGATACATCTCATGAAGTTGATACATGTGCAGAGTTAGAACATATTCTACCAGCTGTGATTTATTCATTTAAAGACAGTGGTCAGCTAGAAGAATATATACTATACAACAAATTGTAGCAGAGAAACGGTATCTCAATTCTAAGTCGACCTGCTAATAGCTTATATAAGTCGGCTAAAACTGTTTTTATGATTATATCCCCATTCGAACCATTTCCATTCAGCCAGTTGGTCAGAAAACTCATCAACATGTCTTATAAATACCGACAGACACTATTCAACTTAATAAATGATTATCATGGTGTGACAATAAGAATTAAACGTAGTCATACTTTCAGGCTCAAAAACACTAAAAAGTTAAATTATTTAATAAATAACTCGTCCTCTAATTTATCAATGTTTAATCTGAAATGAGATTATTTCCAATTAAAAAATAATATTAAATACAGTAAAGCAGAATCCCTAAAGAAAGTCCAACACAACAAAATTGAAAATGTTGCAGGCTCGGTTTGACGGACGGTACTGGAAAGTGCAAGTTACCGTCCAAGCCCCCTAGCGCCGGCTTAAGCAGAATTCAACATTTAACACGGAATGGTGAAATTTTGAATTTAGAGTCATCCGCAAATGTGTTCTTACGGCGGTTGTCATGGAACCTTCAATGTTACACAGTAGTGCCATTCCATGAAAAGCGGCGTATGGTCCCCAAGTATAAGAATGCTTTTGCCCTAAACGAGAAAACAATGGGCGAAACTAAATAAAATGGAATTTTGAAAGGGGATCTAAGGTTATGAAGCCTGCATATCACAGATAAGACGTCAAAAGACAAATTTAAAAAAGCAGACAACATATCCTAAGGGTGAGTATACAGTATTCAAGTAGGAATTCTGGAACCACCCAAGCTGATAATGGCCAAAAAAGAAACTAAAAGTACCAAATTACGTTTACACAACAATAATGTTGTGCTGAACGATCGTCAAGGATCGAAAATATAACATTATTGATTAAATGTACGGGGAGACTTTTCACAGCCGCCACACGGCTAAAGACTATATGACTGCTAGATATCGTATCGTATACATCTACTAAAACCTGTATATCAACCCATTACTGTGAAAAACGGATGTTTTCATTGAAAAATCTCCCGTTACAAGTTCAAATTGCTATAATTCTATAACAACTGCTTCAACACTAATCAAACTTGGCACAAATGTTGACTGGACCATTGCCCTTGAAACACCATGCTCCGGCTTAAATTTTCTGTTACCATGGCAACGAGGCTGACATCTCAAAATTGCCAAAATCACTTTTTGCGTTGATTTTTTTCCATCAAAATTGATTTTAAAGTGCTGCAATGGATTGAGATAGAGTCAAATGCTTTTCAGCGTTGGTTATACGTTACCTTATGATCAATTGGGGTCATTTATAGCCTCTCACAAGTCCAAAATTTTCTTGGCGATGAGGGGGACTCCGCCCCCTTCAACCCCCCCCCCCAACAAAAAGGCATTAAAAGGCGTGTATATCGCGTAATGGGTTAAACTACTTCACCCCGTTCACTTGAATTTGTTTTCTTTGCTACACTCTGGACACACGGCAAAGCCTTTTTTTGTAATTTTGTTAGAAGCAGCTCGAGTTGAAGGATGGAAACTCAAATATACGTACAGGGATGACTATAGTTTGTATTGACGGCGAAATTTGTTACAGCAAATGCGTTTTGGGCTTTATTCAGTAATAAATATCAACATCGTTCGCACATGTCAACAAATACACTACACGTTATCGCCAAGTTAACAAAAATCAGTCAATATGCAAACAAAAGCAAATATTGATCTAAAACTAGAAACATTTAGCTTTATAATATTGTTTAGTTTGGAAAAATCGATGAAGTTATGATGAAGAAATAAGTTTAAATATTACCTTAAGGTGACAACGGAGTCAATTATCACTGAAAATACCTAAAATGAGATTTTTTGCTTAGTAGATTTATCAACCTTTTCTGAACGCATTCGTAATTTAATTTTGGAAGCAGTTAGTCCAAAAAATGTGTTTTTAAACGTTTTAAAACGGTACCTGTACCATTTTTATCTGCTATTCGCGTAACCTGTCAATTATCGATAACGCT